GCATCTTAATAACATTAAGCTCTTGAAATAAATTTCATCAGGCTTCATATTTTATTTTCGGAGACAATGCAAAGTGGCTACATCTTCATCAACACAATTAATTCCATTGTCAAGCTTCTGCATATTTTTGCTGCAAGTGCAAAATGCAATAATTTAAAAGAAATTTCTGAAAATCCATTTGAAACAAGTGATTATAATCAGCCAGGGTCATTGTCGATTATTGTGCAAAGTCCCATTGTTTGTAAACTGTTATTGTTTAACGGTCCATAAGTTTAGAGCCTCTGGAACGAACGTGCATTTGATAACTTGTCATGATTGTAACTCTGTTTAGGTGAGTGGTGAAAAGGCATTTTACTCAAAAATGATATTAAATATATGAAAGTAGTAAGTTAGACGTTTTTATGAAGAATATCCTGTTTTTTAAATTACAAAATACACACTTGATATTGTCTGAGGGAAAGGCAACATTAAATGAGATGAGATCCTAATATTATTTTTATATCCGTATCCAATGTTTGATTAATGTTTTTGCACAGTAGTATCTAAGGTGTAGTTTCACATAAAAACAAATTTGTTTATGTATGTTTTTAAATGAATACTGATATCAATACTGCTTGATATAAGGGTAGCTACCATGTAATTGCAAAGCCAAGTCTCAACACCTTACGTCACGTACCTTCCATATATACATACGGGCATATGTATTTTAAATATTAAAAAAAAAATTATTGTTTTTTAAATATTACAATTGGCGCTCTTTCTATTTTGTCAGACAATCAGGATCGTATATCTGATGATTCGGTGCCTTCCTTCTACACGGCCTGACTATATAAAGCACAATAAACAAACAGTAACTTGTGAAAATAAATAACGGCATACTGCAAGTACACCACCAAAGAAGTTTTTATTTTCATTTTATACTTCGATATTTACTCACGAGTATATAAATTTTCGGATAATTATTCGGAGGAATGGGAAATTGATGGGCGAATTCTACCGTATGCAACGCTGTATTTTTTTTTTTCATATGAAATGATACAAAATTCTTTTTTATTTTTGCTATTTCTTCCTTTTCGATTGAAAAGGCACATCAACGTTAAATTTGTACTTTAAAAAAAATCCATCTAGAAACATTTGCTTTTCAGAATCATTCTGTTTATCCCATTTTTTGAATATTGCTATTATTATTAAATTCGAAATTATGGATACTAGTTAATTTAAAATGGCATTGCAATTACGATTAATCTTTTCAAGCAGAAAATGACGCAAATGTTTTAACAAAAGGACATTATGCTAAATGAGATCAAGGTGATCATTATTGTAAAAATGAAGGTGCTAACTCCTACCTTTAACTAAATTGTAAAAAAAAAATTTGGTACAAGTTTTTTATAAAATCCATATCATCTACATGACATTAAGTCTATTAACTATATTTTATACTTATTCCTTTAAATTTTTCGAGAATGACCGGTTTAGTCATCAAGCAATACTAGAAACATTACTTTCCCAATTCAAATATTGTTTTTGATTAACGATAATGTTTTGTGTAACTTATATTATGTCGATTTCTATAAATTGTCATCGTAAGTTGTTTTAGAATGAATGTCCTCGGCCCACATATATTTACCTGACTTTTACCTCTAATATCCTTAACAAGAAATTGTTAATTTATTGAAATTGAGAATCGAAAGGTATAAATGATTATTTGCAAATATATGACTTCTAGCGTTTTTCATCAGGCACATTTGTAGATGCATGACTTCTAACCAGGTTTATCAGGTATATGAAAATTTACCATTTCAAAGACTATGCAATTTAACTAGTTGAAAATGGCATTTTGCCTTAAGGCAAGTTGCATGAACTTCCGTAAATGTGTAAGAAATAACTTAATCAATCGAAATTGAAATTTAGATATTTAGATAAAATTCTAAATGTTTATTTCAAAAATAAAGTTATCTCTTTCAATTAAATCTAAACATTGCGATTTTAAATAGAATTTTTTCAAACACATTTAAATTAACTGTAATTATAATAATTATATTGCACAAACATTATAGTGCTTGTATGCCCTAAAATTGTAGCTTATTATTTTAAATTTTAATGAATTGATCATGTTTGACTCATCACATCATAAAAGCAACTTATGACATAAATTTTGACTATTTTCTCAAACTTTGATGAATTTTCAACATTAATCTATTTGTTATAGAGCCGCGATACTTCAGTATGACCTATAAGACTATGGTATCTACCAAAAAGAAATCATAAAAATTGACGAAAAAATTTTATTAACACTTTATTACAAGAAAACGGCCCGGCTGATCTTTACCAAAAACTAATCAGCACGATTCTCAACCAATATCGATTTACGGCAAAAAATCTGTTCACACACACACATACTTTTTCCAAATTTGGTTTCATTCAATTCAGAATGGCTGAAACGTCGAGAAAACATAAAATTGGCGAATCGGATTTTTTTATGAAAACATAAACTTCTCTTTTGGGAAGATAAAAATGTTAATGGATTTTTTTTTAAATAAATGGCGCCTTATACGAAACTTTCAATGAGTTTAGATAGAAGTAAATTTCTCATTCTCCTACATTTCTGGCAACATCTTTATTAAAATATACCTCACATAGACAGACGAAGGGTAACTCTTGTATACAATAAACATCCTGCTGTGAGTTCTGCTTTATACCTTTAACATTTTTTTATTTTTTGTGCGAGCACGTGTCATCGCGCACCGTTTGATTAACACAGATGGCCCTTTCTTCGTTTCATCTTATTCAAAGGTTGACTATGAACTGGAACCAGTTATTTTAGTTAATTTTCACGGCCGTGGTTTTTATACTTTTATACTTTTTGTATTAAGTTAATTCTTTGAATTTATATAAGAATTTTTTTTTAGTGCCATAAGGTCAAAAGATGATTTGTGACTGAACTTTTAAGCTCGAAGGAGGACTACAAAATAATGTCCGTTATTTAAACATACCCGTGTAGAACATTCTTCTACATGGTTACATAATTTATTAATAAAGAACACTACCAATTTAATATAATATAATTTTGTAATTGTGAATTGAAAAATGAAAATATTGATAATTGACAAGACTATATATTGCAATTGGAATAATATTGATATTTCATAATTTAATCAATAACAGAAAATTAAGCTTAAATTTACATGTTAATGATTGTTATTTAGAGATTTGTTATTTAGAAAAATAGCTAGTAAAAATACCTGTATACTAATTTTTTTTAAAATATACAATATTGTAATATTGAACTAATCGATGTGTTACGCCAGCGACAAGTTTTCTTAGAAAAAATTTACACTATAAAATAATATTATTATTATAAATATTAATTGAGCATTTTCTAATCCATTTTTTCTTTCTTTGCAGATCACATCGAGAATGGTAAGTTTTGCATGCACATAAGTTTCTTATTTTAAATCGAAAGTATTTTCAAAAGAGTTGCCGAAAATAATATTGTAGGATATAAAATATTTAAAAGTCAAATAATGACTTGAAAAGATGATTTTAAAGAGTTACAAATCTGCTTTAGGCAAAATTGCTTTGGGTTGGGTACAATTTTAGTCTTAATGACGAAGTAAGATACAAAATTCTTATTGTAATAGAATTTAATGAAATGAGAATTTTGTATCTTATTTCATCATTTGTACTAATTACAGTTAGATAGCATTTTTAAGATATGCTTCTTCATGCATACTATCCTTAGTGGATATTCCTTAATAATGAAATAAAAATCGAAATACTCATTGTTAAATTTTCTCACAACTAGTTAATATTGCATCGTTACAATATTAATTCATGATAAAAGACTTATTTGTCTGATCATCTTATATATTATTTTTAGCCTTGGCTATTTTTTCTATTTTTTTTCTATTTATATATACATAGTCCTTCTTCGATGACTCAGTTAAGTTTTATCGGATTGTATGAAAAAACACTAATTTCTAGGTATAATTTGTTTATTTTTTGCAAGTTCTTATAATAATTACTGATTTGTCGCTAGGTTCTAATTGATTCGAAAATTTTATATATTTATTATTTATAATTCATGTTGCCACATGGAGTTTTGTTTTGGAATTGAAAAGTAAGTCTGTCCTACTCTGTGCTACCCGATATATAAGCTCAATGCCATGAAGATCGCTTGCAGGCCAATATAAAAATACGTCCAAACAGCCACTATTTTGGAGATGTTTCTGAATAATAAAACTAAATACAACAATTACATTTGAAAATTTTCTACGTTTTATTCTACGTATTATCCTTGGTCTTTAAGATCCAATTGATAAATCTTCCCCACCCGATACTTTCACTGTTATGAATACATCTATCATCCTTCATATTATTCTTAGTGCAGTTTATTTTTGTACGGATTAAATTTTATATTTTTGGTCAGTAAACATTTATTAGAAGAATTCCCGCTCGACTCGTATGTTTACAAATCAGAATGACGCTAACTTCTAACTCTGGTAGCGGGCTATTTCTAGCTCCTCGGCGGCTGTCGAGAGAGAGGAGAGTAACAACTACCAGTATATAGCCCAGGCGGGTAAAGGATGGGACGAACCGCGGGACGACAAACAAATCCACTGAATTAGGGACTTAAACGTTTCGAACTATTTTAAAAGATGGTACTCGATTTAGTCTAATTTTAACTTTGTCAACGATAGTAAAAAAAATTAATAGTAATTAAAAGGCAACCGAATATTTTGTTTATTTCGCAATACTCACGCAGATCTCAAGAAAGAGTGCGCGTTAGGTTCACACGCGATTGAAGTAAAACTTTTTTGCTATTGTACGAGATAGCATTTAAGTTGAAAATGAATACATCATATAACAATTTTGAATGATGTTTTTTACATACATGTATATATCGCGGTTCGTCCCATCCTTTACCTGCCGGGCCAATACTGGTAGTTCTTACTCTCCTCTCTCTATATACCGATATAAATTTAATATATTTTTTTCACTTACTTGTTCTGCAAGGTGAAAATTCAACAAATTCAGTAAAATTGTTCTTGGCTAAGTAGCACGTGCCAACAGGATCTCGCTTTTCTTCCTTAGATCTTGTGTTGACTTGACTAGATCTTGTACTGGTTATCGTGTTAGATCTGAAGACATATCTAGGTGCACAGGCCTGAGAAAATAAAAAAAATAATTAGGATCACACTATGTTGTTTTATGTTCATTAAAGTTGTCACAATCTATTTAAAAGAATAGAAATTTAAAATAAATCTTCTGTTTATCCATCCAACCTCAAAGTTGTCATCGTCTCTACCTCAATATTTCTCTCAACGAGACTTATTCCTTCAACATTAAAAACAATATAAAGCCTTATAATTTCTTCAAAAAATATATCAAATTCGTATTTCAATCCACATAGATATAAAATGAACTGAGTCATCACAGAATTCGAAAATAGAAAGACTACATAAAACCAATGTATCTTTTGGCAGACATACGACAAATATAGTTCTAAATATAGAGTAAATGAGAAAAGCATGACATTATATGTACATATAGGTGTCTATTTAGGATTTTGTTTGGTATATTTGTCATCAAAATGAACCCATTTAAGATTAATTTATTATCGTGTTATTGGTTCCACAAATTGTCTAAGAAATAGAAAAATAATAATAGATGAATTTTTATTATCTTCTCATAGTTTGTCATATATAATTTCATATGCATACTTCTGAAAAATATGCAATTTGCTCACCAATAATCAGAAAAGATATCTATTTCTCATATTGAATCTTGTGTAGAGGTCGTCCTTTCTGGTAAGAAGATTGCCTGTTAAACATTATCTGATGTTAGATTTATTCTTATCTTTATAAATCTGCTGGTAACTTTTTTTCTGCCTAAAAGTTGGTTTGTGTTTTGATAAATTCTTGAATTTGTGGATTTGGATGTTGGCAATTTTTTTTCCTTTTGTTCCATATTTTTGCTTGAACAATTACTAAATCTAAGTTGTACTGCTCGGTCCAGGAAGCATTTATTAGATATTTTCTTTAAACACCTTCATTTGTTTATGAACCCAAGTTACTACTCTGTCCATTACATCTTCGCCCAGTTTCCAAGTAATAAAATCATCCAACGGTTTTACTCAATAAAACAAAATTATAAAGCATTGAGTCATCTAGTTTAATGTAACCATAACAGGAATAAAATAATGTGACTGCGACTGTTTTTATCTATGTCCATATACTTAACACTTCACAAATGCATCCAAGTCAAGTATAATATATGTTGAATGATGGTACTCTTCGCCTCGTTTAATGTTTTCGAAACAGTGATAAAAAATTTAAGTACGTAGAAGGGTTAGATTATTTGAGTGTTAAATTACACAGGATTGCTTTTTGATTACGTTTCCGGGTAATTGAGAGGAATATTCTTTTTGAACTATATATAGATGCTAGTCACAAATATGTAGAGATTTTTATTACTTCCTTGTGTAATGTATGAGTAAGAGGTTGAATTTTGGTGGTCTACATTGTTGGATTTACCAACTAAGTTACAGTACTTGGTAGTAAAAACTGTCACAATGTTATGAATTTGCTGTGCGACCATGCGTTTTACACAGAAAACCTAATTTCACTTATGTGTTGTCAATGATACATCAAAAAGATGCGGTTATGATAACATTGTTTTTTTGACTTTGTGCGTTTTGAAGGATGAATATCTAAAAATAAATTCTGTCAAATACATAGCATTTCGACAGTTTTTCCTACTCATATGAAGATTGGTCAGTAACATAGGGTTGCCATAACAACCATGTTGTATTTCTATCTAGAAGTGAACTGACCCCGTAATATTGTGGAGAAGAACTTTAGTAAAATGATGCAAGTGTTAAATAAATTTTGAGTTTCACATTTTTCACTTTTTCTACATTTTTCGACTTGGTTTGTATTTATTAACTCCTTGAATTTGTGGATTTTGATGATTATTTATTGTTCATGTGCCTTATTACTTACTCATACGAACAGTTGGTAAATCTAATAATGAGTTATTATACATTGGTCAATTATTTATGTACCATGAAGCGTTTGTTTGATATTTCTAAAAGATTAATGTGACATCTGATCATTATCGATTTCCATTTGCTATTAGCCATTTAACTTGTTTCCATATCATACAGTGTATTTCAATTTGTATGATATTTTAATAGATTATTATTATATTAATTTGCTTCTAATACATTATCAATTCTTAATTACCTACTATTAACCATTTAACCTGTTTAGGATTCCCTAGTATATTGAATACTATGTAATATGTTACAGAGTAGTTTTTAATAATTTTTATCACACTTTCATAAATCTGTAATAATAATTGTAAAAACTAGTTTGTTAATTGTTTTATTAACAATAAATTTAAATTCTAAAATATAAATTATAAATTATTAAGAAATTATGATGGTAGTATTAGTAACATAATACATATAATACTGCTACTAAGCTCTCTAATTCCACATTGGCACTTCCTTTTATATTAGTTCATCAGAAGTCTGAAACTGTAATCTTATTACACCTACCAGACCATAAAAAATTACATGTTTCATTTACAAAAACCTCTTTTGTTTGTTTAACTACTAAATTGAATTATATAAATTTTAATTAATTAAAAAAAATTTTCTATTGTCGAGGCATGGATAGAAGGCGTTGCCTTACTTCTGCGCATTATGTTGATTAGGAATCAAGTCTTATTAAATGTGGGTGGTCGAAATTGTCCACATATATGGTAGTATATAATATGGAATAAAATATTACCGAGTTTCCTCGATGACAACTCCACCAGGTCATTGTATCATGTCAACTTATTACAATACCTACGCCGTTTGAATATAGAGTATAATAATATATGACAATGGACACGCCATGGTTTTTTCACGCGTGAAATGATAATAAATTAGAATTTTGCATTTAGAGCACTTTGTATTGATATGTTAATTCGACATTTTAAATAACACGATATTTATCAGGTTTATAAAATTACGTAAAAAAAGAATCCCAGTAGTTTAATTTTACCAATCCAAACCACATCAGATCTATGATATTCAATTGTGGATAACAAATTAGACAAGATCATTACGAAGATTTTTTTTTAAATAATATTAATAGCAGTTGTTGCCAATAGATGGTTTGATTGAGAACTTCATTGATAACTGAGAGATTTGACAAATAAACTCAGCAAATTAAAAATTTGATACCACTTTATCTATCTATCACAAATTTGATGTTGGGTGGTTTTGTCTAAAAGTTTTTTTCTGGGCGTGGAAAAATTAAAATGTCATCTCTCCACTTCTACCTAACCAGTTAATTGAAAAAACTAAAAGTGTTTTGCTCGTGAGAATTAATATGTATTTTAAACAGATGTGTCACACAAAGTTTGATAGTCGATCAAAGTGTTGAATGAAAAAGTTGAAATGTTTTAGGCACGACCCTCATTTAATATCAGTTTTACTAAAAACTACATAAAAAGCAACGTGTTAAATATACATAGTATAAGTATATATATATATATATATATATGTGTGTGTATATATATATAGATATAAATGTACTAGCTGACCCGGCAAACGTTGTTTTGCTAAGTAAGGTATTTTCTAAACAATTATATATATTTAAACCTCAAAATGCTAGGAACATTCTTGAAATTGTTCTAATCTTGAACAAGTATTCTGACTAAACATTCAAATTTTTAAAACAAGTTATTCCCATTATTCTATAACTTCTTTAGTCTGATAATATATACAGTATTTTTTTCAAAATGTTTCTTCATAAAGTCATCTCTCAATGTCTTTACTCTTTTGTTGCACCAAACACGTTTCTTCTACCCATTTTTCACAATATTTCTTTTTAATGCTTCTTGTCATCAGCAATTCATTATTTTGATGTATACGCTATTTTCTTTATTATTATTATTATTATTATAACAATACATGTTATTATATCTCTGATACAATGAAATACGGTTATGAGATTTTCTGATCTTGGATTATAGAAAGTCATAGTCGCATATTCATTCGACATGTACCAATTGTGTTCTGGAACAATATGAGGTAGTAAAAATCATATTGTTATAAATAATTAGTTGTAGAAAATAATTATTGATATTATGTATAGATTTTACTGTTCAATGTTATTAATTAAATACCAATACCAAGAATTGTATTAATTGAGAATTAGATTCATAACAGAGACGTATCATGCAATTAATCGAGAATTTCTATTTGCTTAATGACATATCTCAGGTAAAAATATACTCTTCTGCTGATAGTTTTTTTCTAAATAGTCCTATTCTTGATTTCTTGGATTCTTAAAGAAATATAAGAATGTGACTCTTGAAACCAAATTGCAACAGTATGCAACTTTTCGTATTAAAAATAAGTTCATTATTTCATTATTTAAAAACTCTGTATAATAAATTGCATTCCAATTTACATGTACTCGTACACTACGTCAATCAACAATATTATTACAATAACGGGTGTTATTATTACATCAATCGTTTGAGAATTTCTAAATAATAATACTGATACCATAATTTAAGTATAAATACCTGTAATTTATACTGTGTAGTTACAATTCATTAATTTAACACTTTATAATCATTAACTATTTCCTACACAATATTAATTCTATATGTAGCTAATATGTAACAATTGCAACGTATGTTTATGCAACTGTTACGTGAATGTAATGTATATATTCTTCATACATGTAATTGCAATGCATAAGTACGTAAGTATACGTAACATATATGTAACTATTATTCCTAATGGACGAACAACATAATTTTTTTAGGTATAAATTGCATAAAATTAGATTATTTGAATATAAATCTTATCTCTATTTATGAAAAGTGCATTTATGAGATACGTTTTACTTCGAGGACAAATAATTTGAAGAACTATAGTTATTACAAATTTAATTTCAGCTCTTTCAAAGTTTGCGAATTGTTATATAATTATTGTGGGAATTTGCTTAGGTATTACATTAATACATGTACAATATTTGAAGTCCAATTACTTTAGATAAAATATAATTTTCGTATAATAATATTTACGCATAATTCAATGATATAAATATCACGAATTTCAGATTTAGTTTCAGCTATTCTATATTTTGGGAATTATTTGATAACTATGTAGAGTATTTGCTATAGATATTAAAATAATATATGAATATAATTTAGGTTAGAGTTACTGTTAATATAATAAAATTGCAATATTTCAAAGTACGGTTTATACAATACTTCGATCAACAATATCATTACAACTAATAGTTGTTATTACACCAATCCAATCGTTCGAAAAATTCCAACTAATAAACCACAGGTATCCCATAATTCAAGTTCAAATACTATAATTCATCCTTTAATGTTACGTTTCAACAATTTAACACTTCATAATCATTAACACTTATCATTTTCTCCACAATATTAATTCAATATGTACTTAAAGCCTGTTATTCGATTATGGCCAGAGACTTAGTCAATTATAAATTGACGGTGTATATATGATTCATTACAACTTGTCAAACAACCGCTTATGTCAAGCCATGAATCATTTTATTAAAAATCTTAAGGCATGTGTTATAATGTATATGTTCAGCAGGTTTTGCTTAAAAATATTGATATTAAGTGATACTTTATTTCCCAGGGTAAATGTAGATAGTTGAGTATAATAACAGTGTAATAAATTTACATATTGCTCGGATGTAATTTACGATCTTCTCGCCGACGTTAACTTGATAACTCATGGGTAATACGGTATTGCAGGTTTTTTGTTACCTGGGTAGTAAAATACTCAGGATTCCGCAAATCAAGAGATTTTTATGTACTTTGAAAGTAACTACTGAATATATTTCGATTATATGTTGCATATCTAAAAACTTTGGACTTACCACAACTGGTCCATTTACTCCAACACTGCTCAAGGTTGCTCCAAACCATTGATCAGACTTTTGGTCCATTTGTTCGCCTCGTGACGTATTTTTATTTCCTGAAAATCGAAATAATTTTATTAATTTTAGAAGTTTAATTATTTTAATATAGATAGGGCAGTAAACAGAATTGTGCAGGTGCGTCATTTTTGACACGTAATATAAAATTGAACTATCATTAAAATTCGTTTTTTTTTAATCTTTAATAAAATCAATGTTTCAGCTTACACAAGCCGAATAAATTAAAATATATTTAAGAAATTTATTTAGAATAATATCATTATTTTTAAAGAATTTTAGAACTTTAATAAATTTAGTGATGATGAGCCAGGACCTTTTAATAAATTTTTAAATAATTCATGTTTTTTAATAATGTTATGTAGGATTATTAGACTCTGTCAATAAATTTATATATATATATATATATATATATATATATATATTAAATCCATTTTACATGTATATTATTACTTCATATTTCAATTGACTCTAATGCTTATTAATCAGGATGCAGAAACACAATATCACAACTGAAAATTGATATCGTATTATTTATGAAATATGATATCAGCTATTATTTAAAAATTGCTTAGAATTTCATACTTGTATTAATTACACATGTATCAGTAATTCTGTCTATTTAATACCAGAATATTACAAATTATATAATAGAAAAAGAAATTTTTTTGTTGTTGTATAATAAAAAGAAAATTAATATTGTATTCAATCAATCGAATTTGATACAAAAAATATTAATGAACTATATAATCCATTTTTATCAGAAGTTTCCAGAAATACTATGACAGTCTCAAAAAGCGAAAAAAACATTTCCAAGCTTTGCAATAATTATTAAATTAAATTAAGTAAATTCGTTCTTTACAAGCTCCACCATATTGCGCCCACAAAGAGAATTTCGACTTATGATACTACATACAAATATAAAATCGGAAAAATTATGAGATTTTAAGTATCCTGTAAAAATTTTTGTCGTTTTTTTTTTTAATTTATTTCAATATTTTGCCATTTGACCTTCAATTTAACATTATATTCGTGTTTAGCAACATCCAATACAAAAAACTTTTATTATTAACTTCCCGTAGGGCAAGTTATAGTAATCGCAAAAAAATCGAAAATGAAAATTTCTATATATCTTTACGTTTCAAAACCTTCTGAACATTTTGGCATACCTTAGAAAAAATGGATTTTTGTGTAGTGTATGTATGTGTGTGTGTGCGGATATAAATTTTCGTCGACGATTTCGGGAACACCGATTAACCGATTTGAATAATTAAAAAAACATTCGATTCGTATTGATAAGGAGACGTGCTGATTAGTTTTTGGCGAAGGCAGGTCTAGCCGTTCCGAAGATACGGGGCAAAAAGTGCCAAAAATGGTAACTCAGTTTTTAAGAGAACGGAGCGTCCGATTTTAATAATTCAAAAAACATTTTACTTGTATTAACGAGATGAAGAACTGATCAAATTTTCATAAAGGCAGGTCTAGCTGTTTCGGAGATGAAAAGTAAAAAAATGCCATTTGGCGGTCAAAAATGATTATTAGACATATGCACATCAAATTATCAGATATTTTATAGAGATTTTAACAATAAGTATATATTTTGTTTATATTCCTATGGGTTACGTACTAATGTTTACCCGTTAGACGGCGACACGGCGCTTACGCGCTTCAATATTTCGTCTTTATTCAGTTAAAGCAGTACGATTGCTTTGAAAAAAGTTCAGAATTTCCAAAATATTTCAAAATATTTTTTTTCAAAAAGTCTGTTTTCAAAAAAAAGTAAATTTTTGTCAAAAATTTATACTTTTTCAAAAATTAATAGTTTCTCAAAAATCTAATTCTTCAGAGTATAAAAAAAAAATGATACGTGAAGTTCCAGCAATTTGCCTTAAGGCATGATGCCATGCGCCCCACTATTTTGCGATTACTATAACTTACCCTACGAGAAGGTAAAAATCACCACCAATACAGTAGTATTTATTGAAAACCATCATAGTAAACCATATTCTGTACAATTTTAGTTCATACTCGTACATTTATAGTGCCTTGAAAACGTAGAATTTTTATAATATGCATTTGCAATCAAAACAATAGTACTCCAACACAAATAAAACTATCAATCAATTCCCATTGACCGCGTTATTCCATTGAATTCGGAGACGAGACCTGACCATCCGTCGTCTCTCGTCTCTTGTCTTAATATGGTCAAAGAAAACGAACACTTGCATGCGGATCGCGGCGCCTATGTAATAATATAATGTTGAATCGCGGTATCGCAACTCTGTCCGCGGCCCGCGCACACGTTGCGTCACCTTCGCAGGTGATTCAGTGCACGTTCTGAGGCGAAACGCCATATGGACCGCTGGACGACGGGCGTGGGATAACTGTCGCAAGGAAATTGGGAAATGGATGAAATATGGTTTTTTAATTAAGAAAAATCGGGAAAATGTCATCTTTGACACTTACAATATAAAGGATTCAGTTAGGGGCTTGATGGAATTTTTATAGTCATTTCGTTGGATAATGGATACTTTGCAATGTAGCCTAATTCTTAAATTCTTTATTATTAAGTCTTCATGGAAGACAGGTTACGGTAGTGACTGTAGTCATAAACATCTATAATTAATTAATATTGAGATAGGGTTCAATGGAATGAAGGTGAAGTATGTTTGTTAGAACAAGTTTCCGTTATTGCATTGAGTTAGCGCCCTACATTAACACGATCTGTAGACCGCATTGATTTTTGATAGACTTTAAAGAGACAAATTTAATGGCTTTTTTTATAAGAAGAAAATAGATAGGATTAGAAGTGATATAACTGTCGTAAGGAAAGTAGAAAATGATAAAATATGGCTCCTTATTAAAGAAAAATCAGGAAAATGCGACGTTAGTTAAATAAAATGTAGAGTATTCTATGAGTAGATTGATGAAATTTTTATTGACGTCATGTTTCCTAGGATAACAGATACTTAAAATAGTAGCCCCTACAATTTTCATAATTGTAGACCGGGTACGGTTGTGAAGATTTATCAATATCACATATTTGTGATTGTGGCTTCTACTCTATCATTGTGCTATATATGGTTATGCTATATATGGTTTGCCTTGCAAAAAAAAATACTTGACTACGTATAAAACAAAATTGATAGCAAATATCTAAATATTTATTATAAAATATTAATATAAGTCAGCCAAAAAGAGTTTCCAAAAAAATGTAAAACTTTTCTCACACTATAGTGATAATTCTACTCATCTATTGTGTGTTTATTTTTATCTTTAAAAAACATATAAATTGTTTAACAAAAGAAATTCATGCATACTAAATTAGTGTAAATTAAAATTAAAATTAATAGGAAATATTAATTTTTTTTCTATTCATTATATTCAATATGTAATCTGCCTACGAAGGTTTTTAAGAAAATATAGAACTATCTTACACGATCACAGTATTATGATGTTTTTCTTATATTATTATGCAATATATGCGTATTTCATTAAAATCATTCCATCATCAATTATCCTAATACATTTTTATAACCTTGAAAACAATTAATTTCAAAATTTAATCATTAGAAAGATGCAATTTCATGGTCAATAGATTTCTGTTTGTATTAGCTCAGCTTGTCAAGTGCAAAGTATAATAATTTATCATATTAAGAAACAATAGAATACTTTATAAATTATTTAAATCATTTGTATATATATCATATATATATATATATATATATATATATATATATATATATATTGTTTTTGTTATCAATTAAAAATTATATGAATATTTTTTTTAAATTTATTAGAAATCCATACGTTTAGGCTGAGATATCTCATAAAATATAGCAAAATATTATATTAATGTATATTTATAATTTTATATATAAAATTGCTTCTAAAAATATGTCGAAAGTATTTACAAGTTTCTGGTGTGTTTTGCACATTAGGAATTCAAATTTAGCTACAAATATACATTTAAAATAATTAAAAATGATAATATTCAAGAAGACAAAATACTTGTTAGACAAAAAATACTGTTACCATGTCATGTTAACCAATTCATCATTCATATCTATTATTAGCTTGACTCGATTATTATTAGCTATGTACAAACGGTATGTGTGTCAATACTATCAATACTGTTTTTTTTTAATTTTTGCCGAACAAACTGATAAATTTTCTGATCAAAGATTCTATGACATATTTTTTTTGTTATTACAAAAAAACATTGATAGCATAACCAACTTGTGGCTGACCTTGGCTTACAAACTGGATTTATATAATACTGACTGAGATATTTCTATCTTCATATTCGCCTTCCTTATAATAATCATATGTTAGAATATTTTACCTATACATATATATATAAATATATATGTATATATATATATATATATATATATTATTTCAGGCTGGTTTTGTAAATTTTCGTAGTTCAATGTGGCAAAATTTTATGCATTGTCACACGTTACTGTTGGCTAGTTAAATCGCAATTTTTGAGATAAACAAATATATTCTCAAATTTTAAGATGTTTACAATATTTTGAGGCTATGTTCTAATAAACCAAACAAATAAAACATGAGAAGATCCCACGAGTCCTGATTGAAAATCATTTCCAGTTCGTTTAGTAAAATTATTTCTGTTGTATGATTTTTTTAGGTGCACTTTTTGTTTAATATGTAAGTATTTTTTAATTCCAATATTTTATACAATATTTAGCCAGATCTATACATTTTCTGGTATACATGTGACGAATATACACGTCATGGTTCGATTTGATGACCATAGTATACTGGTTATTAATAATTTTATAAAAACACTTCGACTAATTTCCGTAGTTTACTAGCGAATCCAATACCCAACAATTTTGTTTTATATTTGCAAATCATTCATCCGAATATTTAAAAAAAATATTTTAAAATTCAATATAGACTTTATTCTGAGAATTATTTGCACAACGATGTTCATATAACTCGACAAAGAAAGTTTTGTTTATACTTCGATATAAACAATGTATTTATATTATGACTAATCTGGATAAAAAGAGTTTACTTATATAGAGTTGAGATAGAGCAGATCTGTTCTGTGTGAGTTTTCTCAGTATCGAAAGTTTTTAAACAAATTGGAAGATTGATGATGCTGGTTGAATACAAATAAATTTGGATTTAATATATATTGTTTTTTTTAGTATAGCGAAGGTAATGCGTTCACGCATATCAGACTAGGTTTTTTGTATGGGTTTGTCCGGCTCACTAAACAAAATGAATTTTGATCATTTTCATTAACTCATTAATATCATCGTCACGACTCCACATAATTTTATTAATAAGTTGATTTATCAAGTTTCTCTTTGTACAGTATTTATAGCCTTTTGTTCATCTATTATTTATTGTAATTGAATTTAATTGGCGCCTTTTCAACAGACAATACAAAGGTTTGTTTGAACTTATCGATATCTTAAATAGTTTTCTTATTTTACAGATCGAACGATGCGCTTCTTTACAATTATAATTATCGATAATATACCATCATGCCAATGTTCTCCAGTCAATAGTAAGCACTTTGTTTTGTTCTATCTAGAAAAATAAATATAATTTCCCACAGCCACAATGTTCGAAACATTAAAGTAGGTGTGTAAAAACAATATTTACTTTTGATTAACTAGTGCAAAATGGTGTATCAACAAACATTTTGGAGAAGTGATTTTGTGAATGTAGTGCAAGTCGCTATTTATGAAATGTTCCAAAATTTATTTTGAGAGACCTTATTGATCGTTTGTAATAGTTTATAAATTGGGGTATGCTGCAATTAATTATATTAAAATTGGATTGCTTCTAAAAATTTCCATGTAATTAAGTAGTATCATCACAAAAGCTCATAAAAATTACGATTGCAGTTCAAAAAAGCAAAAATAAAAAAAGCTATCCTCGATACCCAGAATTTCGTTGCGTCCATAATGTGCATGTTGATTTTGTTAATGGTTTGCAAGGTATAAAACATTCGAAAATATATATGTCGGATATAAATAAAATTCAGGTCAGACTAAATATATGCTTCCATTTTATGACAACACAATTTAAACGCTCTAAATATCCGGTCGACTGCAGAAACATATTCATGGACTACTTGGTTGAAAATATTGAAATTAAATTAAATATAAATGTTAAATTGTATAAAACAGATGCGCAAATGATGAATCACTTATATATTTATATATATATACATATATTGTTTTTATGAAAGTATTTATTTCAAAAAAATCGGTAGCTACACATTACAGAAATATTTAGTCTGAATTGAGATGTCTACATTTCCTTTGTATAAGAATTCAACAATTAAGAAAAAAAATGCAAAATACTTACTATTCTTATTTTATATTGTATAAAATCAAATTCTATATCGTATTAATAGTAATTTTATTGTGAATTTTTTGCTTGAACAATTTGCTTGAAAACTGTTTATCATAAACTCTCTTTTCTATAATAAATACATTCTATTACTACTTTAATTTAATTAAAATGCTATCTCTGGAATTACTGTTCAAGTCCATAATGAAGAAGTGAATTTTAAAAATATAGTGTCGGTGTATATAATTATACGAAAAGGCTATAATTAGAAGCGACGACTAATCATTAGCTTCATTTATCTTATCAGTTCGTTTAAGCAAATTATATTTACCGTTGAAATTATATGTAGAATTTTATTTTGTGTGGGTAACACCTTCGCAGTATTAATAGAAAGATATTTAAGAAAATATTTATTAGAATATTTATATTTAAGATATAAAATAATTAGTTTATCAAGGTTTGAACACTTCTCGCCGTAGTATGGAAAGTTGCATTTTGATTATTAAATCATATTTTCATTGTTTGTTTAAACTGTACAAGTTGTACATTATTTTTGGTAATACAATTTAGTTTAGTCATCTATTTATTTATTTTTCTACTATTTCACGAATAATTGCATGACCCTTCCTAGTAGTATCATGAGAACGCACGCGTTCCCAAGGAATGCCATTCTGTATCACATTAGTATTGCAGAATTCAAAAGAGAGGCGATCGTCTTCCGATATCTCGACATAGAGATGCATACAAATAATTTATATTTGTTGTTTTGCCACAGAAAAGTAAATAACTTGTAGTCATAGAGCAGAACTTCAATACCAGCGATAATATCATGCAATGTAGATATTGTTATTTGGAATAAATTATAGGTATACGAGGTATGCAGTTTTAGAAATGTTTAAGTTGCAAGTATTATGGACAAATGGTAGTTGGAAATGTGAGATGTTATGTTTGTGATACTGTAGTATATTATCTTTGACCTGGGTGTTTGCCAAGCAACACCTTTGCAGTAAACTCTTGTGAAGATATGGGAATCTAACGTATTTTAGATAATAAGAAACGAAAGATGTTTTACCGAGAGGATAAAATAAATAAAAGGGTATCATTGATAATAGTGTCCTATGCAATCTTGATTAATTTCTACAAAATTTTAGTTTTTCAGGGTTCTGTATAATTTTGAAGCCGGTTTCTGAATAGACCATGATTAATTTCAGTTGTCAGAAATTACGTAAATTTAAATGTTCTAAATATAGAGTGTGCTGATGCTGTTGTTTTTAAAATCAAGTCCAGTAATTTACCGAGAATGAGATTTTATATAAACTCCTGCCCACTACAAAGTAAAACATGTTGATAAAACCACATATAAAAGTATCTTTATTCTTTACAATGATATGTAAAACAGCACGACAATTTTAAACCGCGAGCAACATTTAATATCACTCTTATAAATCATAACCCAAATTACATGCACGAATGCCGACCCACGTGAGATCTTCGTCAGCTTAATTTTTAATAAATCTATAAAGGTGGGAGTACCACATTCAACAATGTCTATAAATTATTCGAAGTCTACATACGACGCCTTATGAAACTGCACTCTATCGATAGTAGAAATGCCAACGGGTCAACAAAAGATCAACTCATCCTATATCCTATCATAAAATATTCTTAGGTTTATCTATTTTAAATCATACTATAAGGTGGAGGTGATCTTATGGATTATTTAGATCTGGGACGAAATGATACGTAAACCAGCTGGAAGGAATAGTGACACAAAACAGGTTAATTAACACTCTACAACGACTATAAAAAATTATAATATTAACAATATAATATATTTAATACAATATCAGATCAAATCACATACCATTTAACTTTAAGAATAAACAACTTCAGATATTCAGTTTCATTAATTTTTTTTTATTTGGAATGTTATTTCAACACCAATCAGAACTTCGGGGTTCTATAAGCTTTTGTAATGATTTCACTTGAGAACGTCACTGTTTCAAAAGACAATCCAATGGTTGGCTAGCTCTATTTAATGAATTTTTCACATAGACATTACATTACATGGACTGATAGTCCTCATATGTTTTTCGTTGTACATAGTGTCCCAACATAGAAGGGACTGTGACGCCACTTGATGAGCGAACATTGCCGACAATCGCGGAACCCTGTAACTTCTGATTGAAATCCTATAGCCATTGGGAATCCCATTTGCAATTTAAAACCATTTTTATTTCCCACATGAGAATATAGATCCACAAACTATTTCCATTACATCTGACAATGGTTGTTTTGTGTCACTATCGTTGCCATAACATTGCAAACATATTAATTCCTCAAGGTTCGTGTCTTTTGAGTAATTATTGTGTTTTGCATGAATCGAAGGTTAGTTGCACAGTAAAATGCAATGAAACAGCTTTCTACCAAACACCTACACTCGGATTTCTTACGATAGTTTTGTATCCCGTAGTTTGAACTCGCAACATTCATTCATTCATCGAAATGAACAATTTCTTAATCGAAATCTCCGTATTGAGAAGGAGAATATAAATACACGTGTCTTGAGTGCAGTTATGTTTTCATGAAATTTATTGCGAGGCCATACAAGGCGAAGGAAAAGAATATTAATTAACGTACTCTATATTTATCCATCCATGTGCTAAATTTAAAACCACTTTATCAATAATAGATTTGTTTGTTTCATAGGGTTATGAGTTGATCATCACATTGATATTCATTATCAAGAATATTTGTTGATTCCAACACATTCTCTAGCAAATCAACTAAATTGAGGGTAGGAAAAACAATAAACATGGATGTGGATAATATGTAAAATCTATCACATTTGATTCAAAGATCCAAGATTTGAACTGGCATTTGACACATTACTTTTTTGCAATAATAAATTTATTTCTATAACTTACCATATCGGTCGAATGGTACAATTTGGCATTGATTATCGATTCGAACATCGCAACTGTAGACAGCGCCTCCTCTTATCACTCCAGGTTGATGAGCATCCGCCTGCGGAGCTCCCACCAAAGCCCTGGAAAACAAAATAATTGTATAAATAATATAACAATACCGAAAGAACATTTGAAATTTTCTAATTACAATGCAAAACTGTTGGTGAAAGCTGATTTTAGCCAGAAAACCACCGTGAGGTGTTGGCCCACAAATTAGGAAGTTTAGGAAGGCAATTAAAAAATCGACTCAAGGCAACTTTAAAAGCTTTGGCTTTAGGTGCTAGATATCGTTGACAAATCATAAACAATATATGAGCAAACCATTTATTATTTTTTACAACTACACAAAAACCTGTAAAAGGTCACCACTAAACCTTTCTACTTCCTTATCTCCAAAAGCTTTTGACTTCAAACGTTGACTCGATTTTCCCAGCTGACAGTTATTAAATATGGGTCAACGTGCTGACATTATTTATTATATTTCTGATCATACAGCACAAACGTCTGAATCTGTTACGGTTCGAAGAGTTCACCATTAGGCGCTCCTATCTTTTGTCAGGCTTCGTTCGGCACAGAAATAGAGGTGCGTTGACTTCCCGTCACTTTTTAACGATGAAAAATCATCGGCAATCGCCAAAGACCACGGTGATAATAGATAAGGTATCTTATTGCAAATATATAATAAACTGTAAAATACTGGTTTTATAGTTCTTGGTCACATTTGGCTCGTTCGTTATATGATCATCATATATCATTATAGATATATAGGTGTTACTTACATTTTTATCTAGTAATTGCTCATAACAGCTACATTTTGATGAAGTTCATAATTATAAGAACAACTTAATTTAGCCAAATTATGCTTAGTCATACCAAGTTCGTATTTACCTTCGCCAGCATAAAAATAATTATATGAAATGCTTTCTACGCATGCTATAGTTTTTTCTTTCTACTGTCTAATTTATTTAGACAGTTGACACAGAATTATATTAATTTTAATTTTTGTAGATTGTAAGTTTTATATTTCATGATTTTCACTAAAACTTCCATATGTAGATCTAAACCTAATGGCACTTTTTTATTTCTAAAACCAGAATACTCCATTAATTAATTATTTTGGTGTGATGATATAGATGTGTTTAATATACATTATATGAAGTGTATCATAATCACATCACCTATCAAAGGTTTTATGAGAACATATTGATTCGAATAGTGATTGCTTTTTATATCAATTTTCTTCAGAATGACATTTCTTATAAGTTGGCTTATAAATAGACTTCATCATATACTTAATATCGATCGAAATTCGCAGACAATTTGGCGCCGTCACGATAAAATGCTTTTTTGCGAAACACGCTATATGAGTTCAATACTACTTTTTATTATATCAATATTGATGAGTAATCGATTAGTGGAAAGTGTAATTCAATTCTGCTTTTGTTTGCATATAGTTATTACTTAATAAATAATTGAAATGTACAAAATGGTAAAAGAAAGTAATTCTTCTTAACATATTTTATTTTACTTGCAAACTATTATTTTAGAAACAAGTGATATTTTTATTATCATGGTACTAATAAAGTTAGACCAGTTGACCAGTCTGTATGAACCAAATTGGAAACAATCTACGTTTTAGGAATATAACGGTTCGTCTATCCACTTCATGTATGTTATCATTGTTTTATCAATACCCAAAAAACGTTCCTATAAATTAAAACCACTTTCTACGGGCAACTTTCCCAACATATGTTCGAATATATACAATTTTGTACCAAGTGGGTGTGAATTGTCGTCATATTGTGCTCGCCCGCACAAATCTTAACGTAATGAGCGTGGTCGGACTGGAATGTTTACAGTCTCTTTGGAAAATTAATATAAAATAATAACACCAGAAGTTATAAAATGTATTTGCAATTAACCACATAATCTAACTATAAAATTAAAAAAATACCAAGGCATACGGGACTCCTGTAGACGCGGTCTTTCTCTCCAAACTTTGATTACTTATTATAGGCCTATAATATTTTGAACCCTTCAATTTGACTATCAATTCTGTCACCATGCAAAGTTTCATCAAATTCCAAGAATCGTAAACCCGAGGTTCTCCTTACCAGCCGATCTAATCCTTACTGTACAGTTTCTGATCCAATATAATGTCGTTGTTTATGGTTTCATCAATGCAGAATCTCGAGTCGACACACAATGTGCAAAAAGCGGCCCCAGGTAATCCAGTTGTGCGGAAATTAGCTGTATTCCTAACCTGCAATTGCTCGTTATGCAAACCACTATATGCCCATGTAGGAACGCCTACATTTATCTCGAACATAATATATAGAGCTGTTGTAATAGTAAAAATCTGTGATTTATACTGGATTTCATTAATGCTATAACGCATTATCGGCTTTGGTAGCGATTTTGATAGTTAGATATATGATTAGTGGACCTACGTTTCCTGGACAGGATGGTGAAAAAATGGAGGACATGGTGCATGGAGATTGTGACAACATGATATATGGATGTAAACCAGGAATTTGTTTTAGAAGGATACGCGATTTTAAAATGTGTGAATAAAGTTTGATGGATGAATGATTTGCCAGAAATTAGCAGGTGTTCTGAAAGCTGTTCAGAACAAGGTGTTCTGCTAACTGTTAGAAATGATGCACTTTGCTAGCAATGTGATTTTTATTGAAAATCAGAAGTAAATCCAACCATTGTTCTTGCAAACTGAGATTTATGTTTTATTTAATTCTGATCGCTCTTAGAAGACAACCCAACGATCGACCAACTATAATTTAAAAAAAATTGTTTTAGCGTTTTCTATTTCTATTATTCTTCTTTCAATTATATCATCATGAATTTCTAAAACCTGATTACATTTATCGGTTCGATCACAAAACGATAATTTGCTTAACACCCAGACTATGAATTATTATTTAATTCTAATCGCCATATCTTTACAATACGCACCTCGAGCATATATGAGGAACCCGTTATTGCAATTCTAGCAAAAAAATGAATTTAACAGTTGGCATAATTGTATCGGCGATATATGTGTAATATCATTCGAGTAAAACAGAGATTCTCAAATATTTCAGGAATATAACTAAAACTACTTAAATTTAACCAAAAGTAACTACAAAAATTCAAGATAGATATTTAGATATGTAGTATTGCTTCTACTCTAATTCTAATCAACTCTAACAAAACAAGGAGTTTCAAATATTTTGTCTAGAGAATTAAAAAAAAATATGATTAGTCGTTTATTAATACTAATACGTTTTGTTAAAAATTTTATTGAAGAAATAGAGAAAATGCAGTGCCATTTATTAGGAAGTATAGCTCCATAGGAAATTGAACAAACTAGGAAATCTCAAATTTTTTGATAATAATTAATTTACATATAAACTTGCGAGGTATCCCAAACATAACGTCAACCCGAAACAAGATGACAATTTGATTGTAACTATTATGAACAAAAGTTGTTCTACAGCTTGCAAATTATGAGCTTTTAAGTATTACCAAGAGTGAAACTTTGTGATGAAACTGTGACTATTTTGAATCTTATTTCTTAAGTTTGAGAACCTCTGTTTCAATAGTATAAAATCAACTTGCTTATCTTAATTTACGGTAGGCCGCCTGTAACACTAACCGTAATGTTGAGACATAAAAATTAATAGAGCTTTTACCGTTGCCCATAGAATATAATAATAGCTTAAGGCAATGTGCAAATCGAATCCTGACATTTGCTGATTTCTGTAAATAATGTATATATTTTAATTATAAATTCTATTAATTTGATTGGCATTCGATATAAACAAACACACGAGGTTGAAAATAGTAGTTATTTTTATGAAACATTACTCGTTCTGTTATATAAAACTCCTTGAAATTCTTGAGAGAATCATTGGATTAATTTTTCCTAGATATCCATATTAGTACCAATTTTAAATTTATTTTATGGAATTCCAAAAAGACTGAAACCCAATTAAAAAAATGTAGCAGCTATCAGTGCGAGTTAATTTTAGAGATGAAGTTAGGCATGAAGTTCGTTGATGAGTGTTTTGTTTGAAGAATGGCGGATTAGTGTTCAATATTAAAAAGAGAGTTATATTATAGAATTTGAGATAAATCAATTAACAATGAGATCTCATCTGGTTTAAGATTTTGTACAACAAAATCACAATTGGATTTTTTTGTCCCTAATTCAAAATGAGTTTATCATGCAGATTTACAAAAATTGCATATTTAGCTAAAAACAGTTTTATTTTTAAAAATTACCTAATAATTAATGATGTAGCTATGTCAAAAATTTGTGATAATATTTTATTATTGTTTATTTAACGATAAAGAGCTCATTTTCATAAAATTTATTACATCAAAACACGCGATAACTTGCACACTTTTGGAATTATAATTGGTATGAAAAGTTAAATGATTTTTAATTGCGATTGATAATTAGTGCCAACAATTATGTAACATCAGCGAAATTATGTGTAATTGAACATTTTTTTGTATTTTCTGTTTACTTTCAATTGTTTTATTTAGGTCAAGACATTTGTACGTTGTTTTGTGTGCTCGACTCATTATTTCAAATAGGTGACGATGTTAGAGGAAAAGATATGAAAACTTATTAGAAAAATTAGATGAAATCATACAGCAATAGTAAAATGATTTTATGATGCTATATATAATTTTGAATTCTACTGAAAATATATACAAACGTAAAGATAGCCATTATTACTTTTCTATTCTATAGATTTCATTTTGTTCCATAAATAGATAGATGATATAATTAAATGAAATAATTTTTCGGGAGGTAAATTTTTTAAACTTCCAACTCGTCATTGATTTGTTCTGAAACTATCCCGATAAATACAAATTTCCCAAATCAAAATACACACTAAGCTTCAATTACTACAATAACAATAAACATTATACTTTTACTACTTTATACCGCAACAAATGATTTATATCTATATTTCAATTTACAACGGTATTATTGCAGAAAGTTATAGCTACCACTTATAATATTTAATGAATACTATAATTATAAATAAGGATTCATTGCGGAAGAGAA